TTTTATCTCAATTTACAGTCAGAATTTCAAACACTTGTGATTGGATACTTGATATCAAAGTTTTACTTTCTACACAACGTATTAAACGTGTCGCAACCTTCCAAGACCGACTTGTCCCTTTGTCAAGCTATGACAGCACCAATATCAGTTCTGTATTTCAGACATGCATTTGTAACGAACCCCTGTGTGCAGGGTTAACATTTTGCCAGTTACCAAATACTTGTGGGATTTCGTTATGGCTACGGCATCCTAACTATAAATATGACGATTTTCTGCTACGATACAAACAATTTTGGCTCAAACCTAAATAGATTACAGTTCAATTGCTGTCATAACCAAGACTTACCGCACTGTCGACTGCATTTTCCAAAATCTACTGCCACAATCGGGTATGTTTCCGGTTTAAGGGAGCGAGCATTATTTTCCGCGAATTTCGTTGGCGATTTAAGCGCCGGCTGTTGTCTTAATAAGAACTAAAATTCTAGAATTCATTCTAGAATTCATTCTAGAATTTTAGTTCCTCATTAAGACGACAAGCGGCGCTCCAGTCATAAACGATGTCGAAATCGCGATCGGTAAAACTAACATAGCATGGAATGAACACGCAATAGATTTGTAACATAAACGAGTGAAACAATACAAATGAACATAGAATTAATACAAATGAACATAGAATTAGATTCAAAACCAGAAGTAACTAATTCTATAACTTATCAACTAGAGAAATAATACAAATGTACACAGAATTAGATTCCAAACCAGAAGTAACTAATTCTATAACTTATCAACTAGAGAAATAATACAAATGTACATAGAATTAGATTCCAAACCAGAAGTAACTAATTCTATAAAAAATAATTATGGCGGTGATCCCCTTCCATAATAATCAGCGATGAACGCGGCTAAAGAGAGCTTACAAATGACATAGGTGTAAAGGGAGATAACTGCCGTGACATGTGTTTTTGAGCCTATAAACCATTTTGCCAATAACCAATACATTTTCGGATACGTCGTCTTACTTAACTGGTATCTTTTCATGGATATTCTTGTAAAATCGTTTCTTTGTTTCAACTTCTCAAACGTTTAATAATTGTATAAGTTGATTCCGAATCAAATCAAACCAAAAAGAAAGACAACAACAGGAACGGAGGAGAGACCAGAACATGGAACTACCAGAACGGGAGTGGCACGCGAATCGTAAACTCAATAACAGCAACACAATAACAGCAACACAGTAACAGCAACACAATAACACAGTAACAGAAACACAGTAACAGCAACACACCAACACAGTAACAGTAACAGCAACACAGTAACAACAACACCGTAACAGCAACACAGTAACAGCAACACAATAACACAGCAACAGCAACACAGTGACAGCAACACAGTAACAAAGTAACAGCAACACAGTAACAACAACACAGTAACAGCTACACAGCAATACAGTAACAGCAACACAGCAACACAGCAACACAGTAACAACAACACAGTAACAGCAACACAGCAACACAGTAACAGCAACACAGTAACATCAACACAGTAACAGTAACAGCAACACAGTAACAACAACACAGTAACAGCAACACAGTAACACAGTAACATAGTAACAGCAACACAATAACACAGAAACAGCAACACAGTAACAGCAACACAGCAACACAGTAACAGCAACACAGTAACAACAACACAGTAACAGCAACACAGCAATACAGTAACAGCAACACAGCAACACAGTAACAACAACACAGTAACAGTAACACAGTAACAGCGACACAGTAACAGTAATACAGTAACACAGTAACAGCAACACAGTAAAAGCAACACAGCAACATTAACACAGCAATAGTAACACAGCAATACAGTAACACAGTAACAGTAACACAGCAACAGTAACACAGTAACAGCAACACAGTAACAATAACACGGTAACAGCAACACAATAACAGCAACACAGTAACATAGTAACAGCAACACAATAACACAAAAACAGCAACACAGTAACAGTAACACAGTAACAGCAACACAATAACAGTAACACAGTAACAGCAACACAGTAACAATAACACGGTAACAGCAACACAATAACAGCAACACAGTAACACAGTAACATCAAAACAGCAACGGCAACACAGTAACACAGAAACAGCAACACAGTAACAGCAACACAATAACACAGTAACAGAAACACAGTAACAGCAACACACCAACACAGCAACAGTAACAGCAACACAGCAACAACAACACCGAAACAGCAACACAGTAACAGCAACACAGAAACAGAGTAACAGCAACACAGCAACACAGTAACACCAACACAGTAACAGCAACACAGTAACACAGTAACAGCAACACAGTAACACAGTATCACAGTAACAGCAACACAGTGACAGCAACAAAGTAACAGCAACACAGTAACAATAACACGGTAACAGCAACACAATAACAGCAACACAGTAACATAGTAACAGCAACACAATAACACAGTAACAGAAACACAGTAACAGCAACACAGTAACAGGAACACAGTAACAGTAACACAGTAACGGCAACACATTTAACACAATAACACAGAAACAGCAACACAGAAACAACAAAAAAGTAACAGAAACACAGCAATACAGTAACAGCAACACAGCAACACAGTGACAGCAACACAGTAACACAGTAACACAGTAACACAGTAACAGCAACACAAAAACATAGTAACAGCAACACAGCAACACAGTAACAACATCACAGTAACAGCAACACAGCAACACAGTAACAACATCACAGTAACAGCAACACAGCAACACAGTGACAGCAACACAGTAACAACAACACAGTAACAGCCACACAGCAATACAGTAACAGCAACACAGCAACACAGAAACAACAACACAGTAACAGCAACACAGTAACAACAACACAGCAACAGCAACACAGTAACACAGTAACATCAAAACAGCAACGGCAACACAGTAACACAGTAACAGCAACACAGTCACAGCAACAAAGTAACAGCAACACAGTAACAATAACACGGTAACAGCAACACAATAACAGCAACACAGTAACATAGTAACAGCAACACAATAACACAAAAACAGCAACACAGTAACAGCACCACAGCAACACAGTAACAGCAACACAGAAACACAGTAACAGCAACACAGTAACAGCAACAGAGTAACACAGTAACAGCAACACAGAAACAGAGTAACAGCAACACAGCAACACAGTAACACCAACACAGTAACAGTAACAGCAACACAGTAACAACAACAAAGTAACAGCAACACAGCAACACAGTAACAACATCACAGTAACAGCAACACAGCAACACAGTAACAACAACACAGTAACAGTAACACAGTAACACAGTAACAATAACACAGTAACAGCAACACAATAACAGCGACACAGTAACACAGTATCAGAAACACAGAAACATAGTAACAGCAACACAGCAACACAGTAACAACAACCCAGTAACAGCAACACAGCAATACAGTAACGGCAACACAGCAACACAGTAACAACAACACAGTAACAGTAACACAGTAACAGCGACACAGGAACACAGTAACAGTAACACAGTAACAGGAACACAGTAACAGCAACACAGTAACACTGTAACACAGTAACAGCAACACAGTGACAGCAACAAAGTAACAGCAACACAGTAACAATAACACAGTAACAGCAACACAATAACAGCAACACAGTAACACAGTAACAGCAACACAGAAACATAGTAACAGCAACACAGCAACACAGTAACAGCAACACAGTAACAGCAACACAGCAACAGCAACACAGTAACAGCAACACAGAAACATAGTAACCGCAACACAGCAACACAGTAACAGCAACACAGAAACAGCAACACAACAACACAGTAACAGTAACACAGTAACACAGTAACGGCAACACAGTAACACAGTAACATCAAAACAGCAACGGCACCACAGTAACACAGTAACAGCAACACAGCAACGGCAACACAGTAACACAGTAACAGCAACACAGTAACTGCAACAGAGTAACACAGTAACAGTAACACAGTAACTGCAACACAGTAACACAGTAACAGCAACACAGAAACATAGTAACCGCAACACAGCAACACAGTAACAGCAACACAGTAACAGTAACAGAAACACAGTTACAGTAACACAGTAACACAGTAACAGTATCACAGTAACAGCAACACAGTAACACAGTTACACAGTAACAGCAACACAGTAACACAGCAACACAGTAACAGCAACACAGCAACACAGCAACAAAGTAACAACAACAAAGTAACAGCAACACAGCAACACACTAACAGTAACACAGTAACATCAACACAGTAACAGTAACACAGTAACAGCAACACAGCAACAGCAACACAGTAACAGAAACACATAAACAGCAACACAACAACACAGTAACAGCGACACAGTAACAGTAATACAGTAACAGTAACACAGTAACAGCAACACAGTCACAGTAACACAGTAACAGCAACACAGTAACAGTAACACAGCAACACAGTAACAGTAACACAGTAACATCAACACAGTACAGCAACACAGTAATACAGTAACAGCAACACAGCAACACAGTAACAGAAACAAAGTAACACAGTAACAGCAACACAGTAACAGCAACACAGCAACAGCAACACAGAAACAGAAACACAGAAACAGCAACACAACAACACAGTAACAGCGACACAGTAACAGTAATACAGTAACAGTAACACAGTAACAGCAACACAGTAACAGTAACACAGTAACACAGTAACAGCAACACAGTAACAGTAACACAGCAACACAGTAACAGTAACACAGTAACATCAACACAGTACAGCAACACAGTAATACAGTAACAGCAACACAGCAACACAGTAACAGCAGCACAGTAACAGCAACACAGCAACAGCAACACAGTAACAGCAACACAGTAACAGTAACACAGCAACACAGTAACAGTAACACAGTAACACAGTAACAATAACACAGTAACAGCAACACAGTAACACAGTCACAGTAACACAGTAACAGCGACACAGTAACACAGTAACACAGTAACACAATAACAGTAACACAGTAACAGCAACACAGTAACAGAAACAGTAACACAGTTACAGTAACACAGTAACACAGAAACAGTATCACAGTAACAGCAACACAGTAACACAGTTACACAGTAACAGCAACACAGTAACACAGCAACACAGTAACAGCAACACAGCAACAGCAACACAGTAACACAGTAACAGCAACACAGAAACAGAGTAACAGCAACACAGCAACACAGTAACAGCAGCACAGTAACAGCAACACAGCAACAGCAACACAGAAACAGAAACACAGAAACAGCAACACAACAACACAGTAACAGCGACACAGTAACAGTAACACAGTAACAGTAACAGAGTAATAGCAACACATTTAACACAGTAACAGCAACAGTAACACAGTAACAGCAACACAGTAACAGTAACACAGCAACACAGTAACAGTAACACAGTAACACAGTAACAGCAACACAGTAACAATAACACAGTAACAGCAACACAATAACAGAAACAAAGTAACACAATAACAGCAACACAGAAACATAGTAACAGCAACACAGCAAGACAGTAACAGCAACACAGTAACAGCAACACAGAAACATAGTAACAGCACCACAGCAACACAGTAACAGCAACACAGTAACAGAAACAGTAACACAGTTACAGTAACACAGTAACACAGTAACAGAATCACAGTAACAGCAACACAGTAACACAGTAACACAGTAACAGCAACACAGCAACACAGCAACACAGTAACAACAACAAAGTAACAGCAACACAGCAACACAGTAACAGTAACACAGTAACATCAACACAGTAACAGCAACACAGTAATACAGTAACAGCAACACAGCAACACAGTAACAACAACACAGTAACAGCAACACAGTAACACAGTAACAGCAACACAGTAACAGTAACACAACAACACAGTAACAGTAACACAGTAACAGCAAGGAGACAGCAAACGACATAAAAAAAAACACAACAGGAATGCAAATTACTGCATTTAAAATGCAACACAGTCAGATCAACATTGATGGTGTTATTATATTTCAAAACATTAAAGACCTTACGAATATAAGACGATTGATTCATTAGGCATTTATAGACTGTTGAATATCACAATATAACACAGGTATAAACTCTTATTGTTTGTCAGGCATATCATCAAAGTATACAACATAACTTGAGTACTACAGAAAATGGGATATTTTGTGATATTTCCTCAAAATGTCTAATTACAAAAAAATACAAATTAACCATAAGAAATTGCATTAAAAGTCACAAGAGGATTTTAATTCATCGATGACGTCAACTGATAGCACTTCATCATTTACCTGAACGTACTTCATTCTGACCCATGTAACCATTTAGATTTGAAAACCCGGTGGAACAAACTTGCTACTAGTTGAGTGTAATATAACCACACCTCAACATTGCGTGCTCATGTATGGCAAGCCAACTTAACATTTATTCAAGGAGCAATGTCGATCCTGTATTTCATCGAATTATATAAGATATCTTATATAATTATATAAGATATCTCATATACAATAAAGATATCTTATGTCTATATGAGATATCTTATATATATATGAGATACCTTATATAGCATATGAGATATCTTATATAGCATATGAGATATCTTATATAGCATATGAGATATCTTATATACGATATAAGATATCTTATACATTTTTTTGAAGTACAGGATCGACATTGCTCCTTGAATAAATGTTAAGTTGGCTTGCCATACTCATGTCTCAATAGTGGTAAAAAGGATGTAAATGTACGAGTGTGAGTAGTAATTTACGATGACATACCTGGAACTCGCACAACTTTTCATTTGGAACATGAAGAAATGTCAAGTGTTTTGTGGGATATATTTTAAAGATTTTGAAATATTCAAAATCATTTTGTAGACTTTTCATTTGAGACCGACAAATATCGACTATTTTGTAGACTTTTAATAAGAAAGAGAGCAATATCAATTATGTTTCGAAACTAATATCTGAGACACGAAGAAAAGAAAAATAGTGTGTATACTGTTCAAAAGAAAGCGATATTGATAATTTCGTTAAATTTTCCTTGGATCGTGGGAAATACTGAATTTTATGGACTATTCATTTGAAGCCTTGAGAAATATCAACGAACTATTTTGTAGACTTTTTCTTAGAGCTTTATAAGTAATCATCTGAGAACCAGGAAAACCATCAATTATTTTGTTGACTTTTCATTAAAGGCAAATCATTTAATCTTGCTTGTAACAAGCATTTTCATTGGCTTACAAATTTATGTTATCAGCCCATAACGTAAAAAAATGACGTCGCCGTTTGTAACGTCGCTTTTGATTGGCTGATACCGCAGCGCAATAATTTCTAAGAGAAAATAGTCCATCAATAAAAGTGGATTTCCACATGGATTGTGTAAAGTAGATTAAATTATAAGGTTTAACTTGAATATATTTTTCATGTTATGGAGCTATAACACAAACCGCTTCGCGGTTTATTCAGAGTACACTCCGTTTTTTTGTGTTATATCTCCATAACATGAAAAATATATTCAAGTTAATCCTTTAATAAATATCGAATATATATACATGTATGTAGATAAATATTTTGTATTTTATAAATATAGGAGGCATAGCAAATAATCAGTAATCTTTATAGAGAAATGATTAAGATCTACAGAAATGTCATATATTTTATATGTCATATGTATTTCAAATATGAAATAAAATCAACCAATAGCAAATAAATAGTGTCTGGATATTTTGTGATACGATTAATACGTCTACAGTTTTTACCGGGAACTTGGGACCAGGCTATACCACGTCTGTGTTGATGCCAGGTCGGTCACACGCAAATATCTAACGCCCACACAAACTATATACCAGCGGGAATTTCCGCGGACGATCAGATGGTCGAATGGCGCTCCTTAGTAATTAGAACAGGCTAGGCGATAGTGTATAAAACTATATATAGCAACAATGACGTAAATAAAGGTAATCAACTGAACCTCATTTAGAAAGTGCTGGTTAAATTTAATTTGGCGATCTATTTATAGAAACTACAAATAAAACGTAAGAGCAGGAGAACGGAGGTTGACTAGGAAGTATAATAATATTAGGAGAATCAGAGGACAGTGAAAACGTCATATGGAGGACGGGGAAAACAGGGGAGAGAGACAAGATCAGCAAGGGGTCAAGGTAGAGTAATAACAGTTAGGACAGAAGGAGAGAAGGAGGGAAAGACGAGATAAGTAAGGGGTCAGGATACAGTGTTAACAGTGAGGACAGAAGGAGAGAAGGAGGGACAGACGAGATCAGTAAGGGGTCAGGGTACAGTGTTGACAATGAGGACAGAAGGAGAGAAGGAGAGACAGACGAGATCAGTAAGGGGTCAGGGCACAGTGTTGACAGTGAGGACAGAAGGAGAGAAGGAGGGACAGACGAGATCAGTAAGGGGTCAGGGTAGAGTGTTAACAGTGTGGACAGAAGGAGAGAAGGAGGGAGAGACGAGATCAGTAAGGGGTCAGGGTACATTGTTAACAGTGAGGACAGAAGGAGAGAAGGACGGACAGAAAAGATCAGTAAGGGGTCAGGGTACAGTGTTAACAGTGAGGACAGAAGGAGAGAAGGAGGGAGAGACGAGATCAGTAAGGGGTCAGGGTACAGTGTTAACAGTGAGGACAGAAGGAGAGAAGGAGAGACAGACGAGATCAGTAAGGGGTCAGGGTACAGTGTTAAGAGTGAGGACAGAAGGAGAGAAGGAGGGAAAGACGAGATCAGTAAGGGGTCAGGGTACAGTGTTTACAGTGAGGACAGAAGGAGAGATGGAGGGAGAGACGAGATCAGTAAGGGGTCAGGGTACAGTGTTAACAGTGAGGACAGAAGGAGAGAAGGAGAGACAGACGAGATCAGTAAGGGGGCAGGGTGCAGTGTTAACAGTGAGGACAGAAGGAGAGAAGGAGAGACAGACGAGATCAGTAAGGGGTCAGGGTGCAGTGTTAACAGTGAGGACAGAAGGAGAGAAGGAGGGAGAGACGAGATCAATAAGGGGTCAGGGTACAGTGTTAACAGTGAGGACAGAAGGAGAGACAGACGAGATCAGTAAGGGGTCAGGGTACAGTGTTAACAGTGAGGACAGAAGGAGAGAAGGAGTGACGAGATCAGTAAGGGGTCAGGGTACAGTGTTGACAGTGAGGACAGAAGGAGAGAAGGAGGGGGAGGGAGACTGCGGTATTGTTATGACTGACCTCTGAACCATCCTTTGCCTTTTGGGTGATGGGGACAGTGGCTAGTTGGACTGAAGGTTGAGGATAGTTGTCATAAAATAGGCCTTGCTAGACAAAATTGTTTACAATTCTGACACGGCAGGCAATGGCACAGAACGTCAGAAACGACGGACGACGGCATTCGGAAACTATGCTTTGGCAGACCACATCATGGGCCGAGAGCGAAAGAGAACCCTTGTACCCGAGCTGAAATAAAGAGATAACTCATATCAATACAGATATCTCTTTTAAGTATTAACTCTTAAGCTGGTTTGCAACAGTTACCCCTGAAGTATCGAAGATATAGGTGATAATTCATATCATTTGTGTGTTCATAGTAACCCCTGGGATATCCTATACTTCTTATTTCATAAAAGAGGTATGGCGGAAAACTGCCCGTATTTCCCTAAGTTGGCATTTATAAAAACGGGAAAACAAATTAAGGAATAAAACATTTCGTGTATCAAAAATGCAAACAAAAGATATAGAACCAATTGAATATGAATTTTTAAACTGCTGAGAAATTAGGTATTGCTAATATGATACTGCAAATATAGCCATATACACTATATCTATGAAAGTGATGGGGTTTCCCGGACTCAAAATAATACTTTCAACACTTTCCCATCTGAGGACCAACTTTTGAATAAACTTTTTGTGACCGTGATGTAATATACAAAAGCAAATCGTATTACGGAAAAGTGGTTCTCCTTTGGGAAAGTGCTCAAATAATGAAAAACAGGGTTGATGAAGTTTCTCTAAACTGCGACAGGTGTATCTTGGGTTAAATCAGTTTATAATTGCCAATATATATATGTTCTATGTAGCCGAATGTGTAACGCAGTTTACTTGTGACTAAAAAATAAACGGTGCAGGTTCGAATCCTCCCTCATTTTTTTTAATATTTAGGCATGTGATAATTTTCCTTAATAAAGCAATATTTTGTTTTTCAAATCGATGGAAAATTTTGTTTACATTTTAATAACATATCTATTGATTTATCAGTTTTGTTAGTAATAATTTCGTTACTATTTAGTGCGACATGCGGATCATCGCCCGAGACCGGATACTTTCTCAGAACTCATTCTGAATGTAGTGATGAAAATTAAATCCGTTCAAAACTGTTTCGTATAGATTGCACGATCTTGTATTACATATAAGCGTATACTTTGTTATAAATCAATATAAAAAACGTGAAATAAGCATTGTGTTGAGCCTTTATCGTTAAACGCATGTTTTAATACCCATGGCCTTAAATTCGTCTGTTTACAATAATCTATTCTTAGACACAGGATTCCTGATATAGATACGTATACCTGTATAAAAATACCTGAGGACGCGTCATAACAGTGCACGGTTGGTGCGCACACTAGCGTAACATAACTTTGGGGAAATAGGCATAGCAACCCGCCATACCTCTTTGTCAATTATATTTACAGCTAGACTATTGCGTTATCGTGCATTGTTTTGTAATTCAATCGAGAAAAGGCATAACTAAGTTGTGATAACTTGTGCCTCACCTTTTCTTGTATTATGCAATAAAATCTGCTTAAACTAAACTAAAACCGCGAGTATCGAGGTCATTTATGTATTTCCTTTTTAAAGGTCTCGAAGAAATGGTTTTCAAAAAGTTAAATTAAAGTATTTTCTTATACGAAGTGTTTTATTTGTAATCAGGATTTTATAGACACAATTTGAAGATACAACAATATATGGACAGGCCCTAATTAAATATTGGTATGTTAGTTTGATGTTCTAAAGCTGATATTTAACCCTTGATTAATTTGATATACCCAAAAGTGACGGCTTTGTCTGTAATAAGACATTAGGGCTTAACATAACTTTCCTAATAGGGAAAAAATACAAGAAATTTGTTAAGCTTCCAAAAAATGGAATATTCTGTATGTACCACACTATATCAATTAATGCAATGTACTAAAGTAAGTTATTATACTAAACTGTACTATTGTGTATTATATAACAGTACGTGCACTGTTATTTATATGTATAAAAATAGTAACAAGTTATTGTCTTAAACTGTACTAGTGTGATGGTATATAATAGTAGTAAGTTATTGTACTAAACTGTACTATTGTGATGGTATATAACAGTAGTAAGTTATTGTACTAAACTGTATTATTGTGTAGTATATAACAGTAGTAAGTTATTGTACTAAACTGTACTATTGTGATGGTATATAATAGTAGTAAGTTATTGTACCAAACTGTACTATTGTGATGGTATGTAACAGTAGTAAGTTATTGTACTAAACTGTACTATTGTAATGGTATATAACAGTAGAAAGTTATTGTACTAAACTGTACTATTGTGTAGTATATAACAATAGTAAGGTATTGTACTAAACTGTACTACTGTGATGGTATATAACAGTAGTAAGTTATTGTACTAAACTGTACTACTGTGATGGTATATAACAGTAATAATGTATTGTACTTAACTGTACTATTGTGATGCAAGTCATTATTTCGTTCTATACTCCAGTATTATACATTTCATTGCCGTACTATTTGTATTTCAGAAGTTTGTACAGTTTTTTTAAAGATGATTAAACAAATGTCGTAATGGATATTGGTAATGAACCTGATGGCTATGTCGATCTCTCTAGCCATGCAAGTATTGCTGTAATAACGGTTACCTCAGTAAAGGTTCAGACCTGCCTTCATTTACGTTTTCAAGTGCACATTAATCTGTTATGGTAAATATAACATCCTAATTAGATTGTAACAAAGCTACACAAGTTGATGGTTTATCGGCCAAAATATTAAAAGCTGGCACTAAAGACTTAAAAAAAAATCTCAGGAGTTTATTCAATTTTTATGTTTCCGAAATCAAATTCCCAGACACACTTTAAAAAGGCATGCTAATCCTCAAAAAGAACAATCCTTTTTGTAAGGAAAAATATTGTCCTGTTAGTATACATCAGATGTTTAAAAGAATTCATCATGACCAACTGAGTTCATTTTCAGAAAGTCTTTTAAAACATTTTCCTTTTAGCTTTCTGACGGGGCTTTGGGTGCTAGTCTGTTCTGCTGAGACTTTTCGAGGACTGGCGTCAGGCCCTGGTCAACATCCAGTATAAAGGTACCATACTCATGGATTCGTCCAATGCTTTTGAATGCCCTCCTCATGGTCTGTTGCTGGAGAAGTTGCGAGCCTATGGGCTGGATGAGTCTGCATTGAGACTGATCAGTAGCTACCTCAGTGACAGACAGCAGCGGATCAGGCTTGGTCCTAGTGTCAGCGGCTGGGAGATGCTCAGGAAGGGGGTCACTGTTTTTATATTTTATATGTTATGATTATTGTACATACAATTGTAGAATACTATAACTTACTATGCACTATCAATTTTAACTTCATTGAGTTATTGTGAAGTGAATGCTTATCTTAAGGTAAAATAACAGATAAAGATGTGCAATGATAATATTAGACAAGTGAATTATATCATATAATTATTTCATTGAACATATTAAAGTATCATAAAATATTATACAATTATGGACTTTTGTGCTGGTGAATATGATGTGATATGAACCTGAAAGAGTGATATTAACTGAGGCGAAGCCGAGGTCAATATCACTCTTTCAGGTTCATATCACATCATATTTACCAGCACAAAAGCCCATAACTGTTTTATTATATGCTTCAACAATAAAATAAAACGAAACAAAACTAAAGGTTCTGATATTTGTACGCGAGCCTCCGTATAAAATTTAGCCAGGTTTGAATACAACAGTTCATCATTGTAACTTTCGAAGGCATCGTCTATGTTCTTTTTCTTAAGATAAGCATGGAGGACATGCACTGCGTGTTCAATGGCCCTTTTTTTACGTTAACAGCATCTTTATCCTCGAATAGTTTTGGTAATTTTCCTAACGGAGGAGAAACGTTCGCCAGCAGCCATCTTCTAATGTCGTCTGACAGATCGCGTTCCAGTCTAACTGCGCATGCGCTACGACAGGTTCCGGGGAATTTCCATACAAGCTATATTTAGAAATCGATATTCACCGGATAACCAGTCTACATGAGTTTTTGAGGACTGGTCACGTGTATAGGATCCGACCAATGTGATTGCGAGAAATGTTCATGCATATAATAAAAGGAGTTATCGAATTTTATCTCATTTGGTTTATTGTGAAGTATAATTGTCTTATTTATTGAATGTTGATGTATGATGTACAAAATGTAAAAAAATATTCTTATAGTGTCTCATAAGCCGAGTTCGGCTGGGCATCACATCTTAACGTACTCTAACATTTTAAATGTCATTATCTGAACTGTGATATGTTATTATGCATGTAATGCGTGACACTGAAATAAACTATTGATTGATTGTATTGTTCAGTCCCTTAAGCCGATTTTAATTAACATACATGCTGTGGTACTTTGTTTTGCTTGTTTGTAATGTTTTATGTATTTTATTCATATTTATTCATGTTTGTCGTAAACTAGCTCTACATAGAGCTAATGCTACTGTTTATAATACACACACGACACTAATTAAAGCGTCTTGTATCTGTATCTTGTTAGGAGGCATGCCGGCCTCACTGCCTATGGTCACTCGAATTATATAGACACAGGAAAATGCTGTCTAATATATGAGCCTGACATGTTGTAAACACGATGATATTTCTATGAAACAATGGTTCTGATATGTCTAGCTAATAACATTTGGATTTTATAAAATGACATATGTTCAAATCTCACTTATTTGTCTATGTCGAATGACAATCGAATTTTTATATGTGGTTTCGACTCGCTACAACTATGTTGAGATATAAAACTCCGCATGACCAAGGTTCATAGATAAACTATCTTCATAGATCAATACATTCAATTCACATATTCCAATACCGATGTTCAAATTGTTTTTTTTTAACATGACTTATGATGGGGTTGAAATATACTTTGACCAGGGCCCAGTTGTTCAAAAGGTGATAAGCTTAATCGGTGATTAGCGTAATTTTATT